AGAACCTTTCACAATGGTGTCAGGCATTCGTAACCAGACGGGGCCAGGAGACAAGCTCACACCTTGCCCACGCGGTACACAGCCGCTGGCTCTGCCGGGTGCTAGAAAACAGGTCAGGGACCGTCCGTCCCCACCCCCGTCAAGGGAAGGTTCAAATAAGGCCTAGTCCTTTGAGAGCAAAGCTGGCGAGAGCTCAAACCCTCTCACCACACCCAGCACTGCGCCCGAGGCCCCATGCCAGACACAGACTTGGGTTCAGAGCAGCTTTGGTAGGCTCAGCCCTTCAGACAGCTGGAAAAACAAACCCAGGCTGCTCCGTGGATGAGAGCCAGAGGAGCGCCTCAGGCCCAGGGAAAGGGCAGGGCTCAGGAGAGGCCGCAGCACCCATGGGTAGAGCGCACTGGGCTGGGACTCGGGTGACCTGTGTTCTGAGCCCAGCTCTGAACAGGGCTGCTGCGGGCCTTGGCCAAGTCACTTCCCCAGCACGTGCCTCAGTTTACCCTCCCACCCCTTGTCGAAGAGGCTGCAAGCTCTCTCCCTTACTACGTGTATGTACTCTGCCCAGCAGAATGGGGTCCTGAGCTCACCTCTGAAATATTCATTGCTGGCAGGGCCACCGCACCTGAAGGCTGCCTGCCCCTTCCCATTCTAAGCCCCTCGTTCCAGGTGCTGATCACATTGCTGGGTAACTCCGTGGGATGAACTTTGCATGCTGGGTACCTGCCTCCTGCTGCGCGTTTTCTTTTTGGCAAATGAGCCAAAATGGTTCAGGCATCTCCAAGCATGAGGCGAAGGGGGAAATGGTCTTTTTGACCAGCTGTCGTGTCCCTCTGCTTTGGAGCAAGGATTGAAAGTTGGCGGGGGGGGGGGAGGCTTTTGCCATCCTTATGAAAATCTGGCCAAGCTCTAAGACTTTGAACCAGCCCAGTTCGCATATGCTCCTTAGGAACTCGCTAGAGTTTAGCAGCTAAACTCATCAAGGATTCTGTCCCCACTGAGCATGCTCCATCCTCTCACAGCTCCTAGTACTGCCCAGACAGCACCTGGCCATGCTCTAACCCATAGCTACGGGCCACTCAGCAGGACTGTCCCTGTAGCGGCTGCTCTGAGCTGCAGGGGGGCCAGGCCCTGGCAGGATCTGAGAGCAGCGAGCCTGTCTCTCCTGTGCACTCTGTGCCCTCCCCTGCTGGCACCCAGACAGGGCCGGCTCTAGCATTTTTGCCGCCCCAAGCAGGGAAAAAAAAAACAATCCGCGATCGGGATCGCGATCGGAGGCAGGTCCTTCGCTCCGAGAGGGAGTGACGGCCCCGCTGCCGAATTGCCACCAAATGTCCGGACATGCCACCCCCCTCTTCATTGGCCGCCCCAGGCACCTGTTTGCTACACTGGTGCCTGGAGCCGGCCCTGCACCCAGGTAGCGGGGAGCAGGAAGGCACCTGATTCCAATGCAGAGGGGACAAAAGCCAGACCAGGGGGAGGGGAAGGAGGGAGACTGGGAGGGGAGGGAGGCTGGGAGCCAATGAGGAAAACGGGGTGAGGGTGGGGAGGAATACTGGGAGCTGATACTGAGATCAGACAGGGAGTTGTGGGGGAGACTTGGCGGCACACGGAGACTAGAAACGAGCAGGGAGAGACAGATCTGACAAGCAGCTGGGGTGCAGGAGAACTGGGACTGGCTGGGAGGTGGTGGAGAGAGACTGAGATTGGAGGAGGATCCCGGGGATGGATACGAGGGTTGGAAACCACTGTGGGGTAGGCAAAGAGGCTAGGTAGATCAGCCAAAGAGTGTGTGTGTGTGGGGGGGGACCGTGACTGGCCGCACAAGGCCATTGGGACTAGATGTGAAGAGGGGGAGAGACTGTGAGGGTGGGTGTAGTGGCCAGCCCCTCCCATGCCCACTTTGTAGCCTAGGATTATGGTCCAAGTTCCCTTCTTGGAGTGTTAAAATAAAATTTCACTCTGGATCTTTTCTTGGTCAAAAATACTCCTTCGGGTGTGGATTTAGTAATACAAGCCACACTGCCAATAGCCCTCAAAATACCAGTATCAGGTCCTAAGTCCGCACATGGTTTCTCTTCCCCTTCCTGGGCCTTTGCAGTCTCGCCCCTGCTTGATCTGGGACAACTCCCCTATCCCAGGGTCCACCCTGCAAGAGCCCTTCCTCATCTGCCCCAGCCCCCTCCATTGCAGCCACCTGCTGCCTGTTGAAGGGCAGTCCCTGATTCAACGCAGGCTACCTTTGTCTGTAACCCTAGTAGGCTAGCCCCAGCCCTCCAGCCTATAAGGGGTGAGCCAGCCTCTTACGGGGGCAACTGGGAACTGGCCAGCAAGCCAGGAGAGGGAGACTAGGACCAGGGAGACTAGGACCAGCTGGGCCAATTAACTCAGGCTGGGGAAGAAGGAAGAGCAGAAAAGGGATGGGGCAGGAGCCAGGCTTTGGGGTGAGGGTGGGTGGACAGGTACAAGCTGTGCTCACTAGAGACCACTCCCCTCCTAATCCTTGAGTCTCACCAGGCCTCTGCTGTCAGCAAGTGTCTGTGAAACCCACCAGCAAAAGCGTTCTAATCCCCCACTAGTGCTGGTCCGCATGGAGGATGACAACCTACTACTGCTAGCAGTGACTGTTATCTCAAGTGGCCGAGGTCAGTGGGGTGGCTCTAAAGGGCCCAAGCCCTGCTGGTGACCCACGGGGGGTCAGTACGATTCCACAGAATGGAATTGCTGTGTTTCAGTGATGCGCATCCTAGAAAAGTTCATAAGGAAATGAATCATTCTGGCTTCAGTGCAGGGGTTGAATAGTGGCCGGGTCACACAGGGCCCAATGAGACTGGCTGCTCGCTAGGTGAGTGCTACCCATCCATCCTGTGCACTGAAGGGGACAAAGCCCTGTGGAAAAGACAGCACATAAAGCATGCAAATAAAGACAGTCATGCACGTGCCCAGTGGGGCCGAGTTAAGGGTGCACAGGGAACTTAATACTGGCATTTCCTCACTTCTGAGTGCTTGACTTGCAAACCGAGCAAGTCTGTACATAGGATACACGGCCAGCGTACAGCACAACGCAGGCAGACTAGTCCGGAGAGCCTTTGGCATGACACTTGGACAGCTAGCGGTGCAGGGAGAAGTCATTCCAGACTGACATATTGACCACGTGCTTGCCTATCTCAGCCTCGCAAGAGCTGGGGCCCCCTTCCAGTGCCTGTGGGAGCAGGGAGGGTCCACCCCACGAGATTCTCCGCATTGGCTCCGGACCAGGCTCATGGATCCCAGGGCCAGACAGGCCCACTGGGGTCAGCCATCGGCCTTCCCGAGCTGAACTCCTGCCTGAATTAGAGCAGAGTTTTAGAGAAACAGGCCAGGCTGATGGTGAATCCCCCCCCAACGGATCCCGGTGGGAAGTTCTTCCCTGCTCTCAAACATCTGAATGGGCCTAGCTTCAGCTCGTATAAACCCTGCTCAGCGCTCTGGTCCCGCTGCAGGTACTTACAGACTGTGATCAAGTCACCCGTAACCGTCTCTTCGGTTAGCCAACAGACTGAGCTCATGTCCTGTCCGGGCCCCCCCGGCGCCGTGGGGCGCTGGCTGGTTTCCCCTGCATCTAGCCCTTCCGCTGAATTCAGCCAACTCATCCTGGCAGTAAGTCCCGATTTTGACTCCCACTAAGCCCCTGCTGCATTTGCCATACGGTTGGATGTCATGTGGCCAGCTCAGGTGGTGTGTCAGGGTTAGCGGGGAGGCTCCTGGGGCAGGGACGCCAAGGACAAGGAGCAGGCAGCGAGCACCCTCCCACCAAGCCTGCTCAAGGCAAGCAAGAGCCCAGGCTGACCTCACCTCTTGGATGCATGGGCTGGACAGCCCCACACACTGGCTGAAGGCTGTGGGGTCCACCCAGTCCCTCCAGCCATAGTCCAGGAGGTTCTGAAGCTGGTGGGACCAGCCAGGCCCATCCTTAGCAACAGCTGCGGTGACCCCCTGCGCTCAGGCTGGCGTCAGTACTAGCAGCTGGCTCCGGCGGGGGCGTGGGTTCAGAACCTGGGCAGGGCCCAGCTAACAGGGCCATGGAGCCCAGCGTCAGGTGCACTGTGTCCACGAGGGGTCAAGAAGCTGCCCGGGCCCTTGTCTGGGCCCAGC